GGGGGGGGGGGGGTGGGCGGGGGCGGGGGGGGGGGGGGGGGCCCCCGCCTCCAGCCGCTCCCGTGTCCCGCAGGCCGCGTCCGTGTGCGGGGAATCGGTGGGGGACACAAGCGGCGCTACCGCATGATCGACTTCCAGCGACTGCGCTACGAGGAGGGGGCCCCGCCGGAGCCCTTCACCGAGAAAGTCATCAGCGTCCGATACGACCCTTGCAGGCGAGTGCGGGGTGCGGGTTCGGCCCCGGGCCGGGGCAGTCGCGCCAGCCGCGGCCCCCTGCTCATCCGCCGCGGGCTCTCCGTGCAGGTCGGCTGACATCGCCCTGGTGGCCGGCGGCAACCGCAAGCGCTGGATCATTGCCACGGAGAACATGCAGCCAGGGGACAGCATCACGAACTCGCCTCACATTGGCAGGATGGCAGGTGCACGCCAGGGCCAGGGGCAGCTGTGCCGGTCTTGCCGAGGGCTCGTCGGCTGCTCCTTGCCCAACTTGTCAGCTTCTGTCTTCCAGTGTCAGCCCGCGAAGGGGACGCATACCCACTGGGGGCTCTGCCTGTCGGCACGCTGATCTGCAACCTGGAGAGCCACCCTGGGAAGGGAGCGCAGTACATCCGGGCAGCTGGTGTGTCCTCACACAGGGAACCCACTGTTTGCAGGGGTTTGGCTGAGCAAAGTGGATAGGAGGGCAGGGGAGCACTGCTCTGGGTGGCCAGTGACAGGGAGTTGCCATCTTCTCCTCATGTTAGAGTGCAACACATCCCTCCAGAAAAGCAGGGGCAGCTCTGCCCTGTTCGTTCCTCAAGGTCCTGTCTTCAGCAAGAAATGCTGTATTTAGTACAACAGTGGGGGGGCTTTGGGGAATTACTGGGATGTGCTTGTCACAGGGTGAGATACTTTGTCCTGCTGCTCAAGGTAGCTGTCTCCTCTCTTGCCTGCTGCAGGTACCTGTGGGGTGCTGCTGAGGAAAGTGAATGGGACAGCCATCGTGCAGCTGCCCTCCAAAAGGCATATGCAGGTAAAGGAGCTGTGCTGTGCCTGCCTCAACTGCCTGGGCATGCAACCGTGTGTCCCCAGGGAGGGCTGCAGCTCTTCTCTGTCCCCTAGGTGCTGGAGACCTGTGTGGCTACGGTGGGCCGCGTGTCCAACATGGATCACAACAAGCGGGTGATCGGGAAGGCGGGCCGGAACCGCTGGCTGGGCAAGCGCCCACACACAGGCTTGTGGCACCGCAAGGGTGGCTGGGCTGGGCGCAAGATCAAGCCTCTCCCACCCATGAAAAGCTATGTCAACCTGCCACGGGTCAAAGCAGTGGAGTGATGCCTGGGGCCAATAAAGCGTTTTTCATGCCACTGCTGTCGCATTAGTGATGCCTCTTATGTGCAGGGCCTTTCCTCGCTCTCCCACGGGTCAAGTTCTGCTGTGTTCAGTCCCTGGCAGGAGTGGGACTGCTGGCAGAGATGAGTGTGGGGCTGTGGACTGCCTTGGCTTGAGTTTGAGATTGGTGGGTGACTCGGTGCGGTCAATTGGCACAATCGTGTCAAACCTAGCTGTAGGACATCCGAGCTCTTCTCTCACCCTCAGCTTGTGGCTCAGTGAAGGCAAGTGGACGGGAAGGTGGCTTCCAGCCAAGGTGACCGGGAATCACGGACCTCAGCGCCTCCCAGCCCCAGTAGCGCCTCACTGCTCTCTGGCCCCACTTCTGCCGCTGGCCGCTGCTGCGTCCTTCCCTCGCCGCCTTCCCTGTCCCACCCTGCCCCGTCCGTCTGCGCCCCAAGTGCCGCACTGTGCTCCGTGTGCCTCACTCAGCCCCCGGCGCTGCCCCCGGTCCCGCAGTGCCCGTCCGAGCCCGCCGGTGCCGCCCGCCCGGGCCCAGCCCTCACGGCCGCCGTCGGGCGGGGTCTGCGCAGGCGCCCGCGGCCGGAGCGGCGCGGGAGCGGTGCCGGAGGTAACGCGGCGGCCCCGGCGCGGCCCCGCGGCGGAGGGAGGGCGGCGGGCTGGGCCCGGGCGGGCGCGCCCGCTGAGCGCCCCAAGCGGAGCTGGCCCGGGACAGGCTCGGCTTGTTAAGGGTAGGCCTCGGTCGTGGTCCCCGGCCGGCCGGGAAAGGGGTGTGGCAGCCGAACCGGGCCGGGTCCGGTGCGCGGTGCCCGGCGTGCTGTCGCTCGGCCCGCGCCTGGAAGGAGCTTTGATGCTGGCGCGGCCGGCCCGCACGAGCCCTCTCCACGGGGATGGCAGTGCCGTGCCGCCCGTCTTTAGCATGTGTGCCCCAGGCACAGGCCTGTCCCTGACCGTGTCCCAGTCCCGGCTGGGTGATGTGCAGCGCAGCCCTCCAGCGCAGACTTGCACTGGACCCCTGATCCGGCATGTGGGCTCTGCCTGGCTCCGGTAGCTCGCTCCAGCAGCACACAGCCGGGTGTTGTAGCTGAGCTTCCTGGGGAAAGCTGCCCTTCCTGAGCACTGCTGTCCGTATTCCTGCCATGCCCACAGTCTGAGAGTCCAGAAACCGCTGTTTGGTCCTATTCGCGGCTTTACAAGGTAAAAGTGAGTTGTATCTCATACTTGCTGTGTTAGGGGTTTACAGCACTGTCCTTGAGTAGAGCCAGTACAAAAGCACATTTTAATGGTTGCATTGCCATATCACCAGCACTGTGACACACAGGAACACAGATCTCTTGCCATAGCATGCCTCATCTACCTCTCCCCAGCTCCTGCTTCCCCTCTGTCTCTGCAGACACATCTGCTGCCATGGTGAATGAGAAGCACAATGGCACCCTGCTCGTGCAGCTGGGGCCCAAACTGCAGGCCTACCCAGAGGAGCTGCTCCGGCAGCGGCGAGGCCACGACGGCCGGCCGGAATACCTGGTCCAGTGGAGCGTCGTCAGCTTGGAAGAGAGAGCAGCAGGAGGCAGCAGTGCCTCCTGTGCAGAGACCAAGCCAGAGCACATCTCCATGTGGATGTCTGCAGAAGAGGTCGGCGCCAGCTGCCCGGCGCTGCTGGGCCGGAGGAGGCCGGAAGGGCCGCGGCTGAAAGAGGAGAAGGCGCCCGGTCCGTTGGCCGCGGACGTGGCGCTGGACGAGGCCTCGCTGCTGGAGATGAAGGCCGATGTCAGGAGCCTGGTGCAGCGAGCCGGGCGCCAGGTGGCCGAGGCCGGGACGCCCGAGTGCTCCATCCTGAGCACGGTGCACGTGCTGGGCGCCTACGCCAGCATCGGCTCCCTGGCGGGCGCCTTCAGGGAGATGGGAGCCCTGGACCTGCTGATGAGGATGCTCTGCCACAAGGAGAAGCAGATCCGCCGCAGTGCCGGCGAGATGCTGCGCGCTCTGGGTGCCCACGATGCAGGTGGGGGCTGCTCCTGCTCGGTGCCGCTGAGGAGGTGTTGCTGGGCAGCTGAGGGGTGCCAGCCTTTGGGAGGGGTGAGATGCCTGGGAAGCAGCATGTCTCGGGGCTTCTTGGCAAAAGGGGAGGAATCAGTCTGCATCTTCCAGGCTTCCTTGGTTGTAGTTGTCTGGACTGCTCTTGGATTTAGAAACTCTCCCCTGCCAGGTTTCTGAGCTGGGACGCTGATTAACTGTTAGGAGTGTTAAGGAACGTTAGGGGTGGCTATCTCTAGCAGCCCCAGCACCTCTCCTATTCCACTGCAGGAGCCCAGCCTGGGGAATCTGGAGTTTCTCAAGCTGAGAGATGCAGCTGCCACTTTCCCATTTGCAGATTCAGCCAGTAGCAAAGCTGAGTGCCCATCCTGGAGCACAGACACACACAGGACTCTGACAGCACACACCTACAGCACTCACATAAACAGAAGCACAGCCAGCTGTGTCCTCTCCTGCTTTTTGTCTGGCAGGGACAGGAGGCCACTCCTGCCAGCACACACTGCATTTTCCAGGTTCACAAATACACATTCACTGATCACTTGGGTACCAGCATGGCCCCTCTGTCCTGCACTGTGCCTGGATCCAAGCCCCTCTGCCAGTCTCAGGGATCCCCCTGCTCATCAATTTGTCAAGTGATGCTTGCTAGTAAACCTGTAGCACTTTTGTTCCACAGTCCACGTTCACACATCCCCTGTGACTTCCAGCACCAACCACCACCCACCTCATACACTGGTCTGGACCCAGGACCTCCTCCTTGCTATTCCAGCATGACATTTTGCTAGCAAATTACACGCATGGCAGGGTGGAAAAGATGCAGATATTTACCCTTTCCCCTGGCCCCAGGCGCTGCAATTCTGCGTCAGCTGCTGGTGCTGAACTCCTCACTTGACTCTCTTCCAGCAGCTGTTCTTCAGAACACACGCTGTTCTCTCCCTAGTGGCTGGTGACCAAGGATCCTGCCAACTCCAGGCACTAGCACTGGAGAGACCCTTGCATTTGCTCCAGTAGCTGGCATATCAGGCCAGGGACTCCTGCACCCCTGATCAGAACTGAGTAATTTGATCTGGGTCAGCTGTACACCAATCTTCCTGATAACTGGCATTCCAAGCTCAAATCTGTGATTTGATCCAGAGAGTGATGGCACCTCCAGCTGTCATTCACTCCACTGACTGACTGACTCCATAGGGCTCCCACACCCCCAGTAAGGCTCCAGTTCATGGTACCAAAAGCCACTCATGCAGGTCTCACCAGCAGCTGGCACTCGGTCTTTGCAGCACACGCACAGACACAGGGTAGAGAGAGGCTTAGTAAAGATTCAATAAGAAAGTAGGACAAATTGTGTCAATCAGGTACAGGGCTGTCAGACCAACACACTGACCAGCCACATTTTAAACATAACTGGCACCTTTTAGAACCCTTTCTCTGCACCCCCTTTTGTGTTCCTTGCCAATTCCAATTAATCAGATAATCTTACTGAAAAACAATCATTCTCACACACCAGATGTCCTTACTAATTGTTGTCCAGATGTCCTTACTAATTGTCGTGACTGACCAAATTTGTTTCTCCTCACTGCATCTATTAGCATTTGTCAGTCAGGTTTGTGATTATGTTCATGTTTATGGCTTCCTTCTTACTTTGACTTTTTGCAGTGAAAAGGTCCTTGACTGGATACACTTAGAGGAGCATAAACCTTCTTCCACATACCCTTGCAATGAAAATACCAAAGGGCTTGACACAACCCTGGTGGGTAGAGGCTGGTCTTCACCCAGTTCTCTCATTTAAGAGGTGCTGCCATGGCTTGGAAGCACCTGATGAGACTTGGGTGCACCTGGAAGGTTGCTGGTTGTGGTGTATCCCACAGGAAATCCGGCTTTCCCTGTCCTAGTGCCTGAGTTCATGCAGCTCTGAAGTGGGGCAGAGGAGGGGCTGATTCAGGTTAAAACTTGACTTCTTTTCTTCCCTGGGACCCTGCTCTGGAATCAGTTGTTTGGGGTTGCTGCTTTGTGAGAATCTCGCAGTGTTAGGAGTAGAAAAAGTACACCACGGAGCAAAATGTTGCCACTCCAGAGGGACAGAACATGGATCAGTTGACACGCAGCAGCAAAGCTGTTCCTCTCCTGCAGCTCCATCTCTCACAGGGAGGGTGGGGTGAGGGTTGTCTTTCTGGGGCCTGAAGAGTTTTGTTTTGTTGTTGTTGCAGGGAGCCGGGCCTATGTCCTGCTGTCCCTGAGCCAGCAGGATGGCATTGAGCAGCAGGTGGACTTTGACAGTCGCTGCACCTTGCTGGAGCTGTTTGCTGAGATCATGTCCTCTGCAGAGCACTGCATGTCCTTCGAGGGGATTCACCTCCCGCAGGTAGGGACGGACCGGCCACCAGCCCCGGGCCTGTGGGGCATGAGGGGCCAGGAGCGGTGGGAGTGGGGGAACAGGGCTGGCACCTTGTCCTGGCCAAGAGGGGAGTTTAAGGTGGGCAGGTGAGCAGGACCGGGAGAGCTGGCACAGGACGTGGGCCTGGTGAGAGGCTGGGGGTGGTGCAGAGGTACCTGGAGAGCCCGGTCTGCGAGCAGGGAGGGGAGGGTGGGCTGAGAGGTCTCCGCTGCTGCCAGCTGGTCTGGAGCTCTCCCGGGAGCCTGCCTGGGAATGAGCTGGTGGCTCAGAGAGAGCAGGGGGCTGGAGGTGCTCTGCAGGCTGAGTGAGAGCTGTGCTTGTTGCAGATCCCTGGGAAGCAGCTGTTTGTCCTGGTGAAGCGCTACCTGTGTGTGACTTCTCTCCTGGACAAGCTGAGCAGTGGCGTGGAGCAGGGAGAGGAGCAGCAGGGCTGTGCTGTGCCCAGCCCTGTCCCTGAGGAGAGGAGCCGTGTGAAGCAGGAGTTTGAGTTCAGCATGGCCATGGCAAACCTCATCTCGGAGCTGGTGCACGTGATGGGCTGGAGCCACAGCCACGAGGCAGAGCCACTGCCCCAACGGGACCTGCAGCCTCGTCCCGCCCGCTCCATCTTCCAGCACAAGGCCTCAGCCAGCTCTGCTGCCGAAGCAGCCCCCACATCCCCAGCAAAGGAGCCTGTGACCTTCAAGACGCGCTCGGCGTTCCCGAGCCGCAGCAGCTACGTGGAATACGTGCAGGCCACGCTGGTGAGCGGCATGCGGGTGCGCATGCTCGAGGACTACGAGCAGGTCAGCGCCGGCGACGAGGGTGACTTCCGCCGCAGCAACGATGGCATGCCCCCAGTGCAGGTATCCCTGCTGGGGGAGCAGGCGCTGCCAATGGGCCTGTCTGCTCTCCTGTGCAGCCTTGCATAGGAACAGTGGGGTTTGCCTTGCATTCCCCCAGCTGGGTGTCTGTTGGGCTGTCCTCCTCAGGTGTACTGGCAAGCTCTGGGCTGCACGTACTGGGTTCACTGGCACATGGTCGAGATCATTGGCCCATCAGAGCAAAAGGAGCTTGAGGGCCAGGAGAAGGTGAACACCCTGACACGAAACCACAGACTGAGAGCAGGTGAGCAGCCTGTCGGTCTCCTTAAGCATGTTCCAACTCTCCCACTGCTCTCCCCTTACCTTCCTTTCTCCCAGCAAGCTATGGTACGGTGGGGACCTCTTCTGCCCAGCATGAGTTTTTTCCTTGGGGAATGAG